GTATAGTAATGTATCTCACAATCTAAACATTAATTATGTAACATTTTACTCAATTAATAAAGATCATGAGAAATGCCTCACTTAACACTTTAAAAAAAAATAATAATAAGTTTTTTGTTATTAAATTTAACCATAAAAATTTATAACTTTACAAATTCAATTAAAACAAGTTTGAAAATTATAGATTAATTGATTTTGGGAGCTAGTTAGTTATTAAAAAAATCCAAAAAACATGTTTATTACAAACGAAATTTTTGCAATTATAGGCTGTTTTTAATAATTTGGAGTTAACATTATTATAAATATTCGAATTATTATTTAAAAAGCATACAATGTATAGAGATAAAATATTTAATTTTTTAAAAATGAAACGCATTTTTTTAAGATTTTAAAAAATGACTTGTAGACTTAAGGTAATTATAAAATTGATTTATCATTCAACAAAATATTTTATTTAAAGCTATTTTTTTTTGACCAATAAACAGACAATTTAAATAAATATTGGACATAATATTTTAATATACAGTACTAATATTTATTAATAAATCTAGTCTTACTTATTTGCATAAACTGATATCCGAGAATAAGACCAAATGAGCAAGATCTAAATTTTATGATAAATAATATTTAAATTCATTGTATGTAATGCTCCAAAAAAGCTTACTGTATATACTTTTATGATCAAAATTGACTGTAAAAGTAAATACTAAATTGAATTAAAATATATAGCATAAGAAAATTAACAGAGAAGATGAGATATGTGTGCTCACATCAAAAGATTTTTTGGATAAAAAAGTATGATACTGGCATGATTTATGAATTATGCTCATTTATATTCGATGTCTAAAAAATAATGAACAAAGAGTAAAAACATGGCCAAACGATTATTAAATGTTGATAAAGTTTAATTAAGTAAATCGAAAAAAACGAACGCTATTAATCCATACTTACTGCCTAATAAGTAATCGACAAGTAGGTTATAAATCCGTTTAAAAGATTAAATTTGTTATATAAGAAAACCTTACTCACAAACTAATAATTCAATAAAGTATATATATTATAAGTTAATTAAAAAGATATAGGAAAAATGACTAAGATATATACCCACATTCTGTTAATCATAAACCAAGCAAATTGTAAATCTTATTAGTGAATGACATTTCAATCAATCAAAATAAATTTTATAAACGAATACTTACCAGCTGATGATTTAATGAAAGATGATCATATCATGAATTAATTAAAAAAAAATTTTTTTAAAAATGACTAGGCATATACTCACCCGCTAAAATGATAAATAATAATTCATAAACCGATTAAGGAAATCAATATTTCTATCAGCTTTGTAATCAAAGAACTATTGCCATAAACTTAAACTTACAGCCTAGTAGATTAGTTTAAACATAAATTAGAAAATAAATCTACAAAATACTGTATTGATAAAATTTGTACTCACAAACCAAGCCTAATAGTAAACAAATCGATTGTAATATCGATTAGAAAACTGTTTGACAAGCTAACTAATAAAATCTATACTCACCGCCTAGTATATTTAATAGAATAAGTAAACATATTAACTAAATGTTGGTTGGCAAAAACAAATGTGATAAATATATACGCACTTCCTGATAATTATAATATAATTTTGTTCCACAGTTGATTAGGAAATGTATTTATCAATATAAAACAAACAATATTACGTGCTCACCGCCTAATAATTTATTGAAATATTAATTTATAAAATATGTAAAGTGAAAGGAAAAATGTGGCTTGGTAAATCAGCCGAGAAAATCGTCAGGTCACAAAAATAATGAATTGCACGCATCTAAAATCATAAAAATAGACAAATAGTTATTTTTATTATTTTGTCAATGTTTTTGTAATTATATAAAAAAATACAATACTTTTCTTCGTAATTCAGTGATTTTATATTAACTGATGAATAATAAAAGCTTTGCATGAATAATGACTGATTGGAAATTTCTTGAGCAGCAGCTTCTCGTGAATAAACCCTTACCTTTAATATTAAAGGAATAGAAAGGTCATTGAATTCACTTTGTTTTCAATCAATGTATTCGGTTCTGTTGCCATCCTGAAATACTGATATGAAAAAAATGAGTGAAGTGTGTCCGCCCAATCACCGATTTTTTGGGAAAAACAAATTGTAAATCCCTATATCAACAACACGGCTAACAAACCTAATGAGAAAAAAGTAGTCAACAATAAGTTTACTCTTAATTTTTATCGACAGAATATATGATAAATATTTATAACTACCATTCATTATTTTCGTGACAACTGCAATTTTCACAACGCGTTACCAAGCCACATCATTTTCCTTATGGAATATTAAAACTTATACTTACAAGCTTTTTTTAATTAAAGACAAATACATATGAAATAGATTATAGAAATGTTACATAAAAAGTAGCCATAAACATACACTTACCATCTACAGATAACAGTTTAAAAAATAAATAAGATATATAATAAATTACTGAAGTGTTAATCAATAGTGAAAAAAATAAATATAAAATGCTTACATTCTGATAGTTTGATGAGTAAAACAACTTAATAATGAAGGTAAAACAGATAAAAACAGATAAATAAATAATATAACATACCCTCTAATATAAATGTGAAAATTTATTGTAAATTAATTTAAAATCACAAATAATTATGGCATCTGAAAGAAAGGCGATAAACCCCTACTCACTGCCTAATGGTTTAATAAAATAGAAACCATTAGGAAATTTTTATGTATAAAAATGTATAACAAACTTATACTTACAATCTAGTAGTTAAATAAATAAAGTAATTAGAGAAATTTTAATACAAGATGCAAACACAATAAAATTATACTTACAATCTAAATTTCATGAAATATGTGTCTCATAAGTCGATTAAAGACAAGTTTATTTATATATAAGAACTATATTAAACATACTTACTTTCTAATAATAAATGTTATAAATTTGGTTAAGAAATAATAATCAGGAAATCAAAAAATAATAATAAATTACACTTACGACCTAATAATTAATGAATATTAGTTATAACATTAATTAGAAAAAAATTTTGTTTTTTCTATGTATAAAGGTTGTGAAATACTTACAATCTAATGAGTTAATATGATATGGTTAAAAATCGATCAGAGATGTTTTGGAAGAAATATGACAAAACGTATACTCACCCGCTGATACAATATGTTGCAGAATTGATCAGAAAATAAAACCATGATTAATCTGAAAAATAAACTCTATAAAACTAATACATACCACCTGATGATTTAATAAAACAAAAATATATATTAGAAAAAAAATTTTTTTGACTATAAACTAAAATATGTAAAACTTTATACTCGCCCTCTGATAGTAAAAATAATCGAGTCATTAATCTATTATAGAACATTAAAATAAGATAAGGCCTATACTCACTTTCTGATAAAACAAATTAACATGTTATTTGATTGATAGAAATAATTATTAATATGAAGGAGAAATACAGTATATTATACTCACTAGCTATACAGTATATTCAATAAAAAAAAAGTGGATCCTAAATTAATTGGAGAATAAATGTCTTAAAAACAAATATAATTAAACTTATACTCACAGTTCATGGCTAAAGAACAAATAAGAAATTAAATTATAAACATTAAATCATATCAAAAAATATATTTGGTTAAAATAATACTCTTAATGGACTATACTGTATTTACCACCTAGTAATTGATAAACAGAAATATGATTGATGTAGCGAAAATATTAATTTATAAAATATGCCTAATAGGACATGTACTCACAATCTAATGATAGAACATATTTAGATTGTAAATTGTCCAGATAATTCCTTAGAAATAGTTATAACAAACTTATTACTGTATATGCTTACAGTCTAATTATATAAATAAATCAATTAAAAAATTTCTTTAATAACATGTATAATAAAACGAAAATCCATACTCACGATCTGGTTTTTAATAAAGTACATGTAATTGATTAGAGAAATGTAATTATAAAATAAAAAGATGCAGAAAAAAATAATACTCACGAACTAATAATTTTTTCAAGAAATAATTACTATCAATTATTGAAGGGGACATGCTATTTTAAACAAAATATGAAATAGAGCTATACTTGCCGCCTAATTAATTGATGAAAAGATGAATTGCGGTTCATTAGTAATACTGTATATTAATAATATGGATCTATTATTAAACATTTTACTTACAGTCTGCAGTTAAATAGATAAATATAAATTGTTTTAAAATACGTTTTTGAATAGATAAAATAAAACTTATACATACAACCTAGTAGTAATTTGATAAAATAGGTTGATGGTAAAATAATTAAAAATATTACTATAAAAAACGGATCAGCATATCTACACTCACCAACTGATAGTTTTAGCAAAATACGTAAGTCATGAAATCAATTCACTGCTATATGATAAAACCTGCACTTACAGTCTATATGAAAATCAATCAGAAAAAGTTTTTTAAAAAACAAAAATATTAAAATACTAACAATATACTCACACGCTAAAAGTTTGATAAAATAAGTAGGTTACTAAATAGATTATATAAATGGTTTTTAAAAAGCAAATACTATACATACACCCTGATTGAATGGATAAATAAAAATAATTATAAATTGATATGATTATTTTAACAACCTAAAAGCCATATATAAAACATTATTTACTGCCTAATATATGATGAAAATATTTTGCCAATCGATTAGAGAAACTTCAGTTTATAGAACAAGAATAATTAAACAATATACATACAAGCTATAAAATAAATAAATCAACAATCGATTAAGAATTTTGACACGTAAATAAGTATGATACAATTTTATACCCACAGCCTGTATATTAAAAAAAAAAATGATAATTTGTAAAATCCAATATAAAATACAGCATTTTAATATATAATAATATGTACTCACGATCTGATTGTAATAAGTGTAATAAAATCGATTAAGAAAATTCAACGATCAAAACTTCATTTTCGAGGTAAGATCATGAAATAATATACCTCCTATAATTTTTAAACGCGAGAATAGATTAAGGTAAACAAATAAAAAAATCTTATACTAATACTGTAAAATATAAACAGAAAATTACCTGCATGTTGACCAGGACTAAAGAAGTCTCCTGCCAATTTAATTTAATAATATTTGTTAATAAAGTATGAATACAATATTTGGATAAGGTTACTAAGAATTTACTTTTACTTAATCCATGGGAATAGAGAGGGTTGGCTATTGCTACGAGGGGTAAAGTGACGAGAACTAATATTTTAGTAAGCAAGAGTTCAAATTTCATTTTTGATATCTATTTTTCTATCAAAAATAAGTTAAATAAATTAGTAAATAAAAAAAATGTGCGAAGACGTGCGTAATTCGAAATTGATGAATAAAAGGACGGTGTAATTATTGTACAATGCAGCATTCATATTACTGTATTTATATAAAGTAGATCTGTTTGGCTACACAAAATTTCAGTGCGTTTACCATAAATGTATACTATAAAAATATGTTATTTTTAATAGCCGCAGCAACGAACATAATATAAATACTATATGCTCAAAAGAGAATATAATGAACGTTAGATAAATAATACATCGTTTATTAATTTTATCCCATAATTTAGCTTCGTATAAGAAGGAATTCACAAGAATCGCAACAATAAAATTTTGCCTTATTAATTTTTTTAAGGCAACATACTTATCAAATAATATTGTAAATTATATTACCAGTTTCACAACTGATGCCATTTCAGCTACAGGAGTCGCCATTTAATTCAGATTAAGAGACTAAAAATTTCAACCCAGTACATGTATATAATTACAAAAAAAATATTCAAATAATAAATATATAAAATATAAAAGCAGAATAACCGATAAATAACGTAGTTACAGTATTGAATTTTACTGCTGAAAATAGATTTAAAAATAAACAAATAATAGACATAAATTTCACTTTATATAAAATAGGCTTGCATATTGCACTAATATTTGTGTATTAACAAATTTTACAAAATAAATCTATTAATATATATACATGTATGCTTTTTTATACGTAATAACATAAGGATATTAAAACAAGCAGATTAAATTCTTTATTAACTTTAAAATATAAAAAATAATACTACGATTTATATAAATGCATATCGAAAAATTATATCATATACAGTATACTTTTTTTAATATTAAAATATAATTAATTTTATATCACCAAAGTAAGCGATATAAAATTATGAACGACGACATTTCAAAAGTCGCATTCATTATTATTATTATTATTATTTTGATTTTAAATAGTAGAAATTAGAATAATAGTTTAATCAATAAAATAATTAAATATGTTAAAATAATCAATGCTGTGAATTGTTGTTAACAATAATAAAGCTTATTAATAATTTGCGTAAATTATATATTTTTTAATTATTTATACATTTTATGGTATTTAAATTATTATATTTGTATTTCAGAATATTTATAAATTAAATAAATTAAAAAAAAATCTTTTTCACATGATTCCTTTTATAAAAATTGCTTTGTTAGGAAGTTTTTCTTTTTAAAGAAACTTTAACTATCAGAATATATTTTTTGAAAAAGGAAAATATAATTCAAAAGACTGTTATTAAGCAGCAAAATTCAGAAATCAAGTATTGCCCTTAAGATTTTACCAATGATCTGCTGAAAAAGATTTAGACTAACAATGGCACTGGTTAATAACGTAAAAAAAAGAAAACAAATAAAAACTTTTTTATAATAAGCTTTTTCTTATACAAACAAACAGAATTCTAAATATATTTTTTTTCTATATTTATCAAGAGACAACATTTTATTTTTTTGGAGTTTTTTTTTTACTAATAATAACTAATATTAGATTTTCCATAACTTTTTTGTAATTATTAGTTCTTATTCACTTTTATGTCTATAAAGCCTATACCATTAAAAGATCTATATATACAAAATATAATAATATTATGTATTACTATAATTATACATGTTGTTGGGCCGGAAAATGGCGAGTCAGTCGCTTCACTGGTCCAAAGTTTGCGTTACTAAAGGTAAGTTGAGGCGTGTATGATTGATTTAGCCGGGCAGTACTAATTAACTTCTTTTCTTTTCTTTCCCGGCACTCGTTTCCTTCTTGATACCCTGGGCTATGTCCTTCTAGCGGCGGTTATCCTTCCTAAAACGGTGCGTACTCA